AGAAAGCCACGCACAAGTGTTAGATCTTAAGCACAAACTCACGCACATTAGGTACAAAACCCACGCACATTAAGCACAATCTCACGCACATTAAGCACAACACCCACGCACCTTAAGTATTAACTCACAGACTTTAAGTTTTAACAATTACTGACATTAATCACTAACCTTACACACATTAAGCACAAACCCTATGCAAATTAAGCACAAACTCCACTCACATTAAGAACAAATCTCACGCACTTTAAACACAAAAGTCCACACTTTAAGTTTTACCAACTACTCACATTAAGCACAACTCCACGCACATTAAGCACAAAACTCACGCACCTTATGCACAAGACTCACGCATCTTACATACAAAACTCACGCACATTAATCACAGAACCGCTCAAATTAATTTTGACCTAGATTCAAAAATTACAAATTGCCACCGCGTTTTTATTTTTAAATTTTGGTAATCCTGAACGTTGATTTAAGCGAGATGAATGGCCTAGATTAAACTGCACAATTGCACCTGAGCACTCTAACCGCACCAGAACCTAATTCTATATATATATATATATATATATATATATATATATATATATATATATATATATATATATATATATATATATACACACACACACACACACACACACACACACACATTCACGTGCACTTTTTCAAAGTTAATATTTTTGTTTAAAATAATATTTTAACCATTAATTTCAAAATAAAAAAATTAATATGATTTTCTAAAAATTTAAAAATTTATAAGATTTTAATAACATTCGAACTTGTACTATTAATTTTTTTTATAAGACTTGTAATATTATTTGATAACTTATAAATATTATAAAGTGTATTATAATTTATAAAGTCCAAGCTAGATTTTGTCCGGGCCTAGACTGTGCCTCGGCCTAGTTTGCGACCTGGGCCTGTGCTGGTTTAGACCCGGGCACCAGGCCATTTTTCATAGGACCTGAACCGGCCCTCTATAAGCCGATTCAAGTTTAGATTAAGCCTCTCCCAGACTCGCTTTTTACCGAACCGATTTAGGGATAGTTCGACCTTGCATCGGCCCGTGGCCACCTATAACCACCATAGAAACAGGTCATTAGCCACCTTCTGGTTAGAAATAAGAACAACAACAAAAACAAAAACTACAATATAGGCCTATTTGGTAACATAGTTAGCTTATCAGCTAATTTTGACTTGTTTGACCACTATTAGCTGTTTGACTGGGTTAAACAGTCAATATGAGTATTTGATTAATTAGCTTTTTGTAACAGCTTATTGCTCCAAAACGCTAAAATTCATAAAACTGCTCAAAGTGACTTTTTTCGATAAGATTTTGGAGAAAGTCATTTTGCATGTAATCAGCTATCAGTCAACCGCTAATTTATCAAACATCTGTTTACAATCAACCAATGCTATCAACTATTCAAACTATTAATTATAATTATTATCATAAAAGAAATTTAAAAAAAAAAAAAAAAAAAAAAAAAAGAGGGGGGGAGTCGTAGCAGTGGAGCTTGAGGCTCCTATAAAATCGCCTAAGGCTCCAGAATTTAAATCCTCAAATGCTTGTCCATCTATTGATGGGCAAGCTGGGCCCTTCATTAAGGAGCTGTGATGGCTTCACTCTCAATTACTTTTATTCTCTTCGTCCCATTTTATGTGTCAGGTTTAGTTAACAAAGCTTGATTGAAGTTATAAATGAACAAACTTGTAGGAAAGTACCAGAATCATTTCATAGGCATACACACAGTGATTTTCATGTGATGTACGTTATGTTTACGGGTATTCAGTATGGCGGTGGATACTGAAGTTGTTGAAATGGTTCCAGTGAATGGAATCCCCAGCAGGAAACCGGTGATCGTTGCTCCGTCGTTTCCTCACGGCAGGAATTGGAAGATCCATAAAGCACTACTTGCTTTAATTTCTCAGACAACATCGTACCACCGAATACTTTGGAACGTGGCGTTGGCAACTTCAAGGCCGTGTTGGTGGAGTATTCGAATGATATATGATGTTGTGGAACCCAGCTACACCTTCCAAGTCATTGACGAGTACAACGTGGGTGCCCGGAGCGATATCAAGAACTTGGATCAATGGTGAGGATTTGTGATCGTCGCATGAAGAATGAGGTCTTTTTCTGCTGCTGCTATTCTTCATCATCATCATCTTCTGCAACTCTTCTTTCTTCTGCTTGTTCTTCTCCACTTCGTTCTGCAACCATCTTATGTACTTCACTGTCTCATCCACTTGATCATGCAACGCCATCCCTTCCTGCAAACAACCAAACTAATTAAGAATGTTCGGGACAACTTAAGCCAACTTAAGGTTATAAGTTCGATTCTTTGGAATAGTTCTCGGTTAATGGCCGCAGATTTTCCTTGTTAGTAATAAAAAAAGAAATGCAAGATTTTGTGGTGGATTGAGGGACAAGCTGAGAGAGATGAGGTGTTTGTAGAGGGTCTTCAATTGATTCCTCCGGTTCTTCTCTACGTACTTCCTTTCCAGTTTTGGAGCTGTTTTTGGCAATATTGACGCCATTTTCTTCCTTCAATATAATTATCCAGGCAAGCTATAGCTTCGCTTCGCTTCGAGTACTAAAACAATGATGTCCCAGAAGCATATATGGGGTTTTAAACAATGAATTATTGGATGGGTTGCATGACGTGTAAAGTGAAACGTCAGCTGAGCTGCGAAGTCGGATTAATTTTCAATTCATTAAGTTTGACTGGCTGACTATGCATTTGGCACCACGTGATGGAAAAAGACCAATTTATTTTATTTGATTTTATTTTTTTGTTTAATTTGAAATTGCAGGACATATATAGTGATTTTAATTTGCGCGCGTAAGATGATGTCGTACGTTGTTGTCTGTGGAGGTGTATGTAGTGTTGTTTTGCATGTTCATTTGATCTCCTCGTGTTCCTCGTTCTGTATGTTCAAAATGCTTACTAAGACTCAGGGAATGAATCTCATTAAATAATGTCAAAAATATTGTTCCGAGGGCGGTACCAGTAGTACAAGGAACATGCATGAAAATTCAACAAAATCATGAACCAACCTATTATTATATTATATATATTGCTTTTGTTTCCCTGCTTTCAACAATCATACCGTGCATGCATAACTGTACTGTTTGATATTTATTGGTGAACGTAATTCATTTTTTAAGAAATTAAAGGATAAACAAATATAAAGACAGTGAATTGACATAGATAATAATCAGTAAATAATATTACATATCCTCAGGTGACACTTCGATTTAAATGACTATTTCATGAAGTGTTTTACATTTTAATAGATAATTGTTGTTTGTGGAAGTGAGCTTAGACCTTTTTTTTTTTTTTTTTTGAAAAAATAAAATAAAATTATTATTACTATATGTATAATTTTTTTATAAAGAAATTAAAATACTCTTAATGAATTACTAATTGTGCGATCAATTTCTCTCCATTTTTGTAATAAAATTGAGCGCATTCATTTGAAGATGGAGCCGGCAAATTAGACAATTTAATAGGAAAGAAAGCTCCACATTTCTTCCATGATATTGATCGATTTCAGTATTTCACTGCCCCATCGAATTGTATGTATCTATTCGCTTGTACAGTTGTATCTGACCCGTGTGGGTCTGAGTTATTTAAGTGAAAATGAGTGGAGGGTTAATATTGGGAGAGACCAAGTACCTCACTTCAGGTTATATTGTGGGATGAGGTGGTTTTGTATTAATTAAGTCCGGCTACAGTAACTAATAGATAAAGTTTAATGATATTTGTCATAGATAAAATCTAATGATATTTGTCATGTATTATGTTCATAAAAATAAAATTTTATGTAAATAAACATTATATACTACATGTGCATTATGGATATATATAATGTGCTATGAACAGTGTATTAATCATGCTAGTCCATGATTGGTTGGGTGGAATAACTATATATATATATATATATATATATATATATATATATATATATATATATATATATATATATATAGTGAAAGGTTCCCGTGCGGTTGAATGCTTCCCATGTGGTTGTGCGAGGTTGAATGCTTCCCATGTGGTTGTGCGATTGATTAATGTGCGTGAGATTTGTATTCAATGTGTATGAGTGTTGTGCTTAATGTGCCTGAGATTTGTATTTAATGTGCGTGAATGTGTAAAATGCAGCAGAAAATATGGATGTCAGCTTCTTCCCCATCCCCAGTAGCCATTGCCCCCTCCCTGATGATGATGCGGAGGCGGGCTATGGTGGTTAAGAATTATGGGAGTAATACAACAGAAATCCACACTTAACTGGTGTGAAAATTTTGTTGTGCGTGCGTCATCTATATAAACATTCAACTACACTGAAGGTAGCTGATAATCCAGAATCCATGGCCAAATTGAAGGAAGAAGTAACAAGAAGCTTGGGATGTGCGTGAGTTTTCTGTTCTGCTTCCTTCTATGCTCGTAATTATGAACTACTAACGCACATTAAGCACAAATCTCACACATATTAAGCACAATACTCAGGCACATTAAGTACAAAACTCACGCATATTAACATTACGCACACATTAAGTACAAATGTCAAGCACATTAAGCACAAACACTCACGCACATTAAGTATAAACCTCACGCACATTAATCCACCGCACAACCGCACGGGAAGCCACAAATGCACCTGATCCCTTCCCTATATATATATATATATATATATATATATATATATATATATATATATATATATAACACATACATGGAGCACTTATTGCACCTATCTATATTGAATTTTAAAACGGTACTAATAATATAGGCTCAATTTGTTAAATGGTTGTTAGCTGTTCAAATTAGGTTAATTAGAGAGTATAACTAGTTGATAATATTAATTAGTTGATAAATTAACTGTTAGTTGATAACTATTTGGTATAATTACAAAAAGCTAATTAACCAAACACTTGCATTGATTTTTTACCAAATCAAAAAGCTAATAGTGATCAAATAATAGCCAAAATTGGCCTATAGGCTAACTATTGTACCAAACAGAGCCATAATGTCTAGTGTACTCAAAACAATCATGTATTGTCATACATGATTGTACTAAGTAATATTGAAAATTATATACGGAGAGTATTACAAATATACAACAACTAACTAAATTAAATGAAATAGAAGTATGGCTGCTTGAATTGGTCTTTCCTCCTGTCCAATGTACACCTACTTTTTTGTTCTCTAATTAATTAGGAGTACTAATTTTGGGCGCAATAATACTCGTTTCCCGCTGTCCAAAAGAAACTGGGTGGCGGGTCGTTCTGACATTGTACCAGGAACTGTTCTAATACGGGAAATCCCAGATTTTCTTGTTCGATGTCATAATTATTATCCCATGAATTTAGCGGTTCTGATTCTATTGCTTCCCCGCCGGGGCACCCTTTAATCACCTCTTTTAGTCTCTCAGCGACCATTCCCATCTCCGACTTGCCAACCTGCAGAAAGCCAGGTTAGTCTAAGATAAATTTCGGGAGACACGACAACATATAATTAATAACGTATGTAACCAACGAACCTGTTCATGGGCAACCTGCAACGTAGAATTGCCGTGGATTTGGAAAGTGGCATTAGTAACTTGGAGGCCTTGTTGTTTATGAAGTACGCGGATGATGCCGTAAAACTGAAAGATACTTTCCAGTCCATTGATCAAAACAACCGACATGCCCGGACTGGTATCAACAACTTGCATCTCCGGCGGCTCGCTCTGCTCGCCGGCCGCCGCCATGCAGTTACGACATGATGAAGAATTTGGTGTCTTTCTGCTCTTCTGCAACAACTCTTCCTTCTTCTGTCTGCACTTCTCCAACTGATTCTCCAAACATTTTATATACTTCACCGTTTCGTCCAGCTGATCCGGCAATGCCATCCTCTCCTGCATCTCAAACGACGTTAAGTTTAGCATAATGTATATATATAAAATACAAACATGCACGCAGTTTAAACTTTTAGTCGAGACAGGTTGAGGAGGACCTGGTGAGCAGGGAGAAGAGAAAAGAGGTCGGTGTAGAGGCTCTTCAAGTGATTCCTTCTATTCTTCTCTATATACTTCCTTTCCAATTTGGGAGCAGGTGTTTTTGTGGTGGTGGTTAGTCTTGAAGACTGACCTTTTTCTCTACCCATTTTATATATATCACTATAACACCAGAAGATGAGATTAAGCTGCTAGCTTAGCAAGTGACCAGAAATGATGGATGATTGTGTGGACAAGATGGGGCGGGGTTTTATAGCCACACCATAAACCTGAGGTCATGAAATAAGTTAAGGACAATCGATCGGAGCCATTTATGTTGCAATTTAACCATTTGAAAACGAAGTTGCATTGCATTTTTATTTTTATTTACCTTTTTGAAAATTTTCCATTGCATTTACTTTGACTTCAATTCTACACATTATTATATTGCACATGAAATTAAACGGCCTTTTTCTACTCCGTTTATTAAAAAGTGGAAAAACGGTCAAATAAACCCTCAAACTTTACCTAAGAAGTCAATTAAGTGCCTAAACTTTTTAAAGTTGCAATTAAACACATCAGCATCTTATTTTGGTGCAATGAAGCCCAAAAACCAGTTCGTAATCTGCTATCACAGGTCACTAAAGTTCCGTTCAATATTCCGTCCAACTCCGACGACATTTTTTCCCGAGTTTTCCGAACAAACTAGAATCTAAAGTCGCCTTGATGCTCCATGGTTCCATCTCAACCAGACACTCCAATCAGATTCCTCTCAGCAATCACTCTTGAATAGCCCGTTCACTGCACCATCCCGAACAACGCTGTGAACGGGGCAATTCAAGAGTGATTGCTCAGAGGAATCCGATTGGCGTGTCTGGCTGATATGGCAACATGGAGTGACAAGGCAGATTCGGATTTGAGTCTGTTTGGTGAATTCGGGAAGAAATGTTGCCAGAGTTAGCCGAAATGTGACCGGAATCCTAGTGACTTGTGATAGCAGGTCACTAACTAGTCGTTGGACTTTATTGCACCAAAATGATAAGTTGATGTGTTTAATTGCAACTTTAAAAAGTTTAGGAACATAATTGACTTCTTAGGTAAAGTTTGAGGGCTTATTTGACCCTCTTCCCTTAAAATTATCTCATGACTACATACATCTTATGTGAAATTAAGAAGCCAGAGACAAATTAAAGTTTGCGACCAAATTGAAAGTCTATAACTCTAGTAACAATGCGAGTCACCATGCAAATTTGCGGACCTCATATAACAAACACAATCTGTGGATTCTTGTCCATGACACTAAATAAAGCCTTACGACCGTATAGAGTTACTTCCAAATAAAAAATAGAGAGATTTAATTTGAGCATTAGATTTAGAAAACCACATTAACTTGGCATACCCTTGTTCTATATGATTTAATGTATATACCAATTATATAAATATAAATATAAATATAAATATAAATATAAATAAATAAATAAATAAATAAATATATATATATATATATATATATATATATATATATATATATATATATATATATATATATATATATATATATATATATATAACGACATTTAAACTGTTTTGTTGATAGATGACAAAAAATGGTCATGTCATTATAATATTAGGACCAAAAGTGAATATTTTGGTAAAAAAAAAAAAAAAAAAAAAAAATAGCTGTCATCTATAAATCTAGGACTAAAAATGAAATTTACTCTATATATGTTCTTATTCTGAATCTGAATTTAAACTGTTAGGGGGCGTTTGGTTCAGGTTATATTACATAACCAAGGGAATGTGACATTCCCGAACTTACATTTCTATGTTTGGTTCATATTCTCTGAGGGAATATAACATTCCCAGGGAATGCAACATTCCCTCCACATAGGATTTTGAAGGGAATGTGATTCCCTTCATTTTGTTAGGTAATGTAAGATAACCTTGGATTTTATACATTTTGTCATTTTAATTCTAATTATTTAAAGATATATATTTTATGTTAGCTTAATATTATTATTATTATTATTATTATATTATATATTTTTTATTACGTTATGTTAGCATATAAAATAATTTTGTTTCTCAAGTTCAAGATTTTAGTTAATATTTTAAAATCATGTAATTATATATGACACTGTTATCTTATTTAATTTTTATATTTATTGAAATATATATATATATATATATATATATATATATATATATATATATATATATATAGAGAGAGAGAGAGAGAGAGAGAGAGAGGCGGGTTCAGGTGCGGCAGTGTCTTACGGTGCGGTTATTTCTTACGGTGCGGCAACACCAATAGTTCACCAAATATGCACCATCAACGTTAGGAAATACACCACACAAAACAGAGTAAACAGAGCCCTGCATCACCAAACACACACCATTAGGTGTGAGTAAAAACACCATACACTGTTCGAAAATACACCATTGGGGGTGGTGAGTTATATGGTGTGTTTTTTTTGAGTCTGTGGTGTATTTTGTGATGTTTTATTACATTTCATTGGGGTGTGTTTTTATTACACTATTGGTGCATATTGTTAACACTGTTGATGTATTCTGGAATTTGACCGCACCGCCGCACCGTAAGACCCCGCCGCATATGAGCGCTCTTCTATATATATATATATATATATATATATATATATATATATATATATATATATATATATATATATAACCCTAAACCAAACATGATTATATTACATTCCTCAATTTTAACCAAACAAAGGAATCTAACATTCCCAACAATCTAACATTCCCTAAAGTAATCTAACATTCCGTGAACCAAACGGCCCCTTAGTACAATTCAGGTTTAAATTTGATTACAATATAATAGACACATTCAATTCAAAACAAACCATGAGTCATGCTTATCTAGAACAACGAGTAACTGTACCGTCAAAATCCAAACCTCAAACAGTGCAGTACTGCAGTGTATCAAAACATTTATGGTCAAATATGTTGAAAAAAAAAATTGAAAAAGAAAGAACTTGACCCACGCTACTTAATTGGGGATAGTGACAGAAATAGACATTTTTAATTTCGTAAATGAAAATAAACAATTTTTTTTTTTATAACCCAGGCTCGATATATGAAATGCATCTTCACTTATTTTTGAAAATTGTTTGTATTCTTGGTAAAAGTATGTAGGGGTTGAATAAGTTGATAAAATAAATTTATATAACAAATATATATAAATAACTAGGATTTAAATTTTAGAAAAATAATCTAAAGAACAAACGAGAAAAAGGAAAACAGCTGAAAAATTCAATTCGTGTGTAATACACACTTCAAAATTTTATCAGAAGAGTTGATAGAAATTCGTAGGGAAAATGATCCTACTAAAGCACAAAAGGTCAATGCCGCCTCCACTAAGGCTCGAACCCACACTCACTCTCTCATCCTACTGAAGCACAAAGAGTCAATGTCGCGCGAGAACCCACACCCACTCTCCCATATGCGAGTGCAAAATCTTGGTGCCATTAGACCACAAGCTCTTGGCAGAAGGTGAAACAATTAGTAATTAACAATGACATTAATTAACATCTGAAATAAATTAAGATTTATAACTTTCATAATTGACAGCTTAATCTGGAATTTAACACAAACGGTTGTGAATGTTAATTCTTAAAAATAGTTTGAAATTAATTCCTACATATCATAATCTAACTAGTATATTTTTATGCGCGATGCGCAAAAAATAGGTGCCCAATATTAATACATTATATTAAAATTTTAAATTTATTTAGATTTTAGATATTTAAATTATTCTAAATAAATAATAATAATCTCTACCAAAAAAAAAATAATGTAAATCATTTTTATAAATTTGATATTTATATTTATGTAATAATTAACATATAACTCAAGTATTTAATGTGTATATATTATTATTAATGAAGAAGATAAGAAAATATATGGTGGATGCATGTGCATGGTAACAATAATGGAAAAGATAACGGAAGTTATAACGGTAAGGGTATGTTTGTCCAAAATATTTTAATGTACAACCTTTATAGCATAATGTACAAAAAAAAAAAAAAAAAAAAAAAAAAAAAAAAAAAAAAAACTTAACGGAAAAATCGGACATAAATCAGGGGTATAACTTTCATTCACACTTATTATGTTTTTAGAAATAAATTCAAATTTATAACCTTCGTTACTAACAACTTAATCTACCATTTAACACAACGGTTACAAATATTAATTCCTAAAAATAAATTAAAATTAATGTAGACGGCATTCGTGTACACATAGGTCGCGGATGCACACAAATGAAATGAACCCTACATATATTTATATATATAAAAAAAATAACCACTTTAAAATGTCATTTTTACTAAAAGTTTTTAACAAAACATAAGTTTAGGTAAATTGTATACATTTCTTACTTTCTCCTCATGAAAAGCATTTAGCAAATAATTTTTTTAACCTTTTTTTTTTTGAAATTTTAAAGATTAATGTTTATTTTTGTTCTGTCGTATTCAATATTTGCCAATTCCTGTCAATGACCCTTGCCCTGTCTCCTAGGTAAACTCTTACTATGAGTGGTTTTCTTCAAATGTTCTAATCGGATGTTAGTGACAATATGGACCTACCACAATTGGAGGTGGTTAAGTCTAGGCCTAGGTTAGCACATATCAGGACCGGCTTAGGATAACTTTGGCCGGTCTCGTGACGAACCTATTCGAGCCGGTTCTGAACCTGGGCTTGGACCTTTTATGAGCCAATTTTGAACTATGTCCAGAATTTTTATTTATTTTTATATAAAATATTTATAAATTGTTTTTTGTTTGAAATGAAATTTAAAACATTGACCTCACCATGATTAACAACGAATATTTTTACCACTTAAACTACTTTAACCTTTTGCTATAATAATATTCTAATTTATATATATATATATATATATATATATATATATATATATATATATATATATATATATATATGGTACGAATGTTTCGCCCAGGAGCGAAATAGGAATGGATTATGTTCGTCCACGTGTCCAGATCTAATGGATGAGAAACACTAATTTTTTAAAAAAGCGCGGTGGTATTTTCGTAAATAATTGAACATTGAAGTGCAAGTAAAATGTATTACAAGTGCATGTAAAATTTATTATAGGTGCAAGTAAAAATTTACACTGAGCATCAATACTAAGTGCACCTATAGTTATAAGTAGTTGCACCTATAGTTCTAAGTAGTTGCAC